AAGAAATAGATATTTGCAAGAACAATAGTGGAAAATTATTATTACATCATTACATGTTGGTGAGTCGAGGTAACAAGCAAGAGGAACATCCCCGTTTCATCTTGCGAGAGCGCGCTCACGTTAAATATATGGCTTATCATATCCCGTTACGTCGTATCGTTGCGGTATCGCTCCTTCGCTAGCTCGATTCGCGATTTGTCAGAACATAAGTAGGCTACATGCGAATATCGCAAGCTAACAGCAACTGCGCTCGACATCCACGGGAAATCACTCTCAAAGGTATAACGTAGCAATCCTGGATTCACGGTCGATAACTGCGCGCGATACGGTGGCTCAATTACAACGGCTACGAACTTTCGCCCCAAGACGACATTTCGTAACAACTTACGAGCGTATCGAGGGTAAGAGCCAGTGCTGCTGCGACAGAGAATTCGTATAGCGCTTGCAGCAGCACAGCGCGATGTGGGATATGGAGATGTCACGGAAAGGGTAACGATGACGAGGGCGGAGAAGCAGGGAGATGAAGGAAGATCTCTCCCTAGGATGAAGTCGTACATAAGCCAAGAGACGCATAGGCACGAGCGCGTTATTCATTCCATCTATTGTGCCACCCCATTAAACATTCGTTGTCGTGTATAACCATTATAAGGAGGATGATAATCTCGCGAGATGCAGTAAACACCGGCGAGTTAAACGAGTGCGCGGATTGCGTTTCTCCTAGAATGTCGCAGTAGGGAAGGAGGAGACAAGTATAAACGTTTCACCGCCACGAGTAATGCTCGCGGGCGTGGAAAGTAATTTAAGGAGCGATCAAGCTGTCGCCGGCAATGCGGCTTACATTCAGAGCGGCCCACGTTACGGCCAACGCGAGAAAGGAGATAACCAGACGGAGATCGTATACATATTTCCCTGCGAATAAATCGACGGTACTAAGGGTAATAAGCCACTTCTGCGCGAGGTGGAATTCACGCGGAATATCCGTTGCGCGAGATCACTGAATATACGCTTAAAGTTGTGAGTACCTGAAAAGTCGTATCATTCGGGTATAATTCCGACGAATGTGAATATCAAATCCGCGATTAAGAAACGTTCGCGTATTTCAAGCAGTCGAGAAAGAAGAAGAGATTACAGGAATCAAAACTGTACGATGAAATCGACGGTAATAACAGAAACGTCGACGAGAATCCTACCCGAGTGTTTAACTGTAACTTCTGGCGCCGAGCGCAGCGAGATAGGTACGGCGAACACTTTACAATTTATATTACAACCCTTGTAACATGGGCCCTTCCTTAAGGCCCTCGAGCCACGCGATTTCTCTCTCCGCAAGATTTACTGGTAAAGTTGTTACTTCTCTGCCATAAAATATTTAATTAGTTGTCTTAATGCCACTTATTTCTTGCGCGCGCTACCTACTACTTGTTTCTCTCGACTCGCCAAACTTTCGTGAGATACAACGAGGCTAAAATGTACAACGTGCTAAAAAGGAATAATTAATGTCTCTTCGGTCACATTAATATATGTCACTGTATTTTATTGTTATTGTCACAGACCTTTTACATTCGTAATATTTCTTACTTCTTATTTGCACTCGACCTCGTAGTTGCAATCAAACGCTTTAATCAATTAAACAATTGATCAATTCATATGATTTGTCAATTTCGGAGAATATAATTTTCTGTCGCGTGCACAAATCGAGAATATCATTATCGATACATCACTGTACAATTACTATAATCGTTCGGGAGGTTAAAATGCAAATATTGCCGCCAGGCATGCCACGACATGTATTATATCTAGCGAAATAGCAACATATATCGGTTCATTGAATGCGATTGCGCAGTTACGGGATGTGTGTGAAATAATCATTCAGAATAACGTTTTGCGTTATCAAAGGTAAGATGATGATTAGAACGAAATCCAAGCGAAATCGCTACAGTGGGCAACCGTGAGAACGTCGTCGCAACGCTGATTGGAATTTAGTATAGAACGATAGAGACTAGTAACGTTTCTCGCTTCTCCAATTAAGCTACCCAGATGTAAATCGGGTTAAGGGAGTCCTGTAACGCGTCGTCGACGGGATTCATTCGTTGAGGGAACACGAACGGCAATTCATTGTTGAGGAAACCCTTTAACGTTAACGGAGATCTTTAAATTAATGTCACATCGTGAAAACACAAGCGCACGTTGCACGTAAATGTAAAATAATAATACATAAAATCAACCGCACATGCCGTGAAATGAATTGGTCCATTTGAATCTGGTATATCAATTACGAAGATTGGATGCAACAAAAATTGGGCGTCACGAAGATTAAGCTCGTCGGAATTAAGCAGACGTAAAACGCGACTCCTCAATGAGTAGTAGACGCACCCCCGCGGATAAAAACTCATCAAAGTTCGCGCCAGCTAGCAAACTAATGCCATTAGAAGTAATTTATCATTTAAAAGTGGCCCGTTCTTGCACGCCACGCTCAGCAAGCTGCGACATATGCGGTATTAACTTTCTTATGACGGGATCCTCTTGACCCGTTTTCACCTTACGTGGTGCACAAGCGTGGCATCCCGTGCATGCAAGTTGGCTAGGCTCACGTCACGTACGTACGTAACGACCATATTATAATACAGGCATTTATCTGACACCCCATCTCCCTGCTCGAAATAAGCCATACGTAATTCCCTCCTAATTATCCGAGAATACAGTTGTAGCGTTAATATTCACGGAAAGAAATAATTGATCACTTGAAATTTATCGCTTAATCGATATTCGTTTTTAGTTTAGCGTATTTAGTTTAGCCGACTACTGTTTCGCCGGTGTATCCACTCTATCAGGCGTATAAAGAAATAATTGCGCAACGGTTATACGCAATGAATAAATTCAATCTGTTCGCAATATCCGTCGGTGTTATTATATGCTTCTGTTTCACTGAAACGAATGGCTCTCACAAATCTCAGTTATTAATGCAGATAGAAAAGTGTTTCTCCTCTAATGTGGAGACGACCACAAGCGTGAAAATGCAAATCACGAGATATTATACGGGATATCTCGTCTTAGTTTCCGCACTAAAATGTTTTCACGAGAAGGAGGAATGTAATGAAAATCAGGATGAGCGATAAAACCCGGTCTGCCGAGGCGTGAACTTATTTTAACAGATGTGATATTGTAAAATCGCGATTGCATCGCATTTTATATCTCATAACTGTCAAGGAGCGAATATTTTGCTGTTATAATATAAATGAGAGTAATATAAGTAAACGCTGTCCTCATAATAATTACGCCTTACGACAAAATATGGTGAATTGAATTGCCCATTTGACCAATTTGTATCCCCCTCATATGTAATTTATTTATTTATTTATGTATTTCCACGAAGCATATACTCGTAAATAGAATAATGATCGAAATTATATTTAATATAATCACATGTGATTACATTTGGAATTATATTGGAATTACATTCAACAGAATTTTCTATAACTTTATAACTGTTTACTACATGCTGTTTACTGTTTGCACAAAGCACAGATACGTAATAAAATGTCACATTTTAAATTTAATTTAATTTAATTAACTGTATTCCGATAAAATTGTACTGACAGTGAGTATGCAAGAAACGTGTGATTACACAAATGGTAAGACACCAGCAATGCTAGAGTCACTATCCCTATTATACATATACTGTTTGTCACTATTGTGTGCCTTTATATTTAAATAAATCATAAAGAAAACTAGCACAAATAAATGTAATAAAGTATTGTTTATATTAAGTTAAATTATTAATATACAATACGAAAGATAATATTAATATACAATACGAAAGGTAACAGCGTTGTATTATGAATGTACATTGAAATTGCAAGTACAAAAGTTGAAATAATGGAATATTAACTTGAACAATTAGTTTATATCTATTATCTGTTTTAGTAACTATATATTGAATCAAATTTGCGAATAGGCACATAAATTAGGGGCACGTTAATGGAGCCATCGACCCTTAAAGAGGTACACTATAGGGACAAAAACATTTTTTTATTTTTATAAAAATATTATAAAATATTAACATTTTTTAGATTAAAAAATATTATAAGAAAAAGAAATGTTATTGAAAAGAAAAGTATTGACTTCAAACAGACAAAATGAAAGCTTATAAAATATTTAATAATTAATTCAATAATAAGCAAATTAGTTCAAAGGGATAGAGACCCTACATAGAAAAACGGTTTTACCGAAGTATCTAAAAATTTAGCTATGTAGAAGTCTGAAAATAATTTTGTTAAACTATCAAAATAATTATGCAGAATGCTCGAGCTGCTGCTAGATAATTAAAATTTTTTACAGCATTTGCTCATCATGCTTAAATTTCCTATATAATTATTTTGTTGATTTAACAAAATTATTTTCAGATATGTGTGTGTATCTAGTTAAATTTTTAAATTTTTCGTCAAAACCCCATCCATTAACTGTTACAAAGCCTTCCAGAAACGAATCAGAACGGTTGAATTATAATAAAACAATACGTTACGCATAATTAGAATACAATGAAAATACTTAGTTTAGGTACTAACGAAATTTCTCATATTATACAAAAATACATGAAGCTAACGAATAAGAAACGATGAGAGAGAAAATAACACGAGAATTAGAACGGCTGCAACGTCTGATGCAGATAAATTCCTCTACAAATGTAATTAACACGAAATACGTACGCAGTTCCCATCAAATCTATGCACTGACGAATAATTACTCGGCGGATAAAATTAATGTGTCGAAATGCGGCCTTAAATCGAGTGCAAATTAAAAGCATTGAAACGATCAGGAAATGGTCCCTCGAGTTCGTTACACGCACGCAGGATAATTACATGCGATTACACATCTAATGGCACGTTGAAGTATGTGGCGTTATCGGAAAATATGTAAATCAGTATTATCGATTCGCACAGGGAGGACGCGAACTGCGCGTACAAGCATGATAATTATCGATCGATTGCTATTGATATACTTACTTTCTTGGCACCGTAAGTGACTCCGCACTTCGAATTTTCTCCTTTTATTTCTTTCCGCCGTTCTATTTTTTCTCTCTTTTTCGATGAACTCCTTCGTCTGTTTTTCTTCATGCAGCTTCACTGAAACCGGTTCTGTCAAAAATCACAGCTCTCCCTTTTATTAACACTTTCCGTCGCGAAGAGAAGAGTCTCGCAGTTAGAGGCTAACACGACTGTTCGTCCCACCCTCTATTTTCCTTCATTGCTTAAACGGTTAAATCATACGATTATCTACTTCCGCCGGAATCGCACTTACTCGCCCGCGCGAAACGCTGTCACTGTCGAAACACAATCTACTCCGCGGCAGCGCCTGGCATTTCGGAATATTGCTTCAAGTAGCGATGGTCATCCACGGTATATCAGACAACGCGTATCCTGTTGGACTCCGCAATACATCTGCGGTGTGCTACAGGAGAGTATCGCTCAACCGGGAGTAATTCGCGCGGAATCACAGTTCGCGATGTGTCGAAACAATTCCTGCGCACCACCAATCTGCAATTTCACGAACGTGCACGTCAGTCGCTTGGAACGGCTCGAGAATTTGATGCAGGATCGTCTTTTAAATTTGTCGAACAAATTATATTTTTATCTGAAAATTATTACGAAAGAGAGAAACAATCCATTTATGCTTCATGTGCTTCGCGCACTATCGGGACTAAAAGAGGAAGCTACATAATCGTGTACACACATTTTAGTATTTACAAAAAGATAATGGTCGGACTAGATAACAAATAGAGAGGAAATTTCTCCATCTATCCAGTTACGTAAGTGATAGTCCTCGCTTACGTTCTAAACGGCTCGGAGCACGTTAAGCGTTCCGAGAGCTGCATTGACGGTTGTTTACAACATCAACACTTTACAAACACATACCTAGTAACTCTAACTGTTACCGGAACTAACTTGGAATGAATCGAGTTAAATTGGGTATTGTAAAAATGCAAAAGTTTTCAACATCATCAGGTCGGCAATCAACCGAAAATCCCCGAGTAAATATATACTTCTTTGTCGATATTATAATCATACGGAATTTAAATAACAGATCAGCTTCTATCGCTTCGGGTAAAAAAATTCACAGCTCTCGGCGGAAGTCATAAAAAATCTATCGCCGTCTGCTGCAGAAAAATTCTACATTCGTAATGTCAATTCCATCGCACCATCGATGGCGCGAATCACGTCATGAAGCCCATACGATCTCTTTTTCTCTTTCGCGTAATTTCGTGTGCATTTTTCGTTTCTCCTTTTTTTTCTATCTATTTCCCCTTTGTCCTTCGAATGGATCAGGTAATGCCTCGAAGGGCGGGACCGGACGTGTCCTACTTTTACGGTGTGTGTGTGTGTGACCGGCGTATAGTTTTTAATCCGAAACTAACAACGTGACACGAGTTAACCGTGCGGTAAGATTATGTGCGCGATGTCACACGCTGAAAGAAAACTCGCATGTTCGTCGCCGGAAATTTTAATCGTGATGACTGATCATCTTTTACTCATTTATTCTCACATTATAAATCCTTTCGTGATAAGTTGCATTAATAATTTCGTCCAATTTTGCAATTCATATTGCACATGATGAACGCGACATGCTATGGCACGTTAGATTTCACGAGAAATATAAAATTCATCGGACATAATAATCTGATCAAAGTAATGAACTCGTTGAAATTATATGAAAATGACGGAAAGAAATTCTCTCTGAGACTATTTATTGCTTTTCTGTCACCTTCTTTAAAACACGATAACCCGTCTCATTACGTACAAACGAGGATAGAAAATGAGAAAGCGTATTTGACCTACTGTGCTTTCGATTTCTATAATCACTCCACGAATCGTAGCAGCCGAATACGCGAAAGTAATTAGTTCGAGATTGCATGCAAATTCACGCGCGGTTTATTCTCCTCTTTCTCTCTGCCTCTTTCTCTCGTGCACGATCACATGTCGTCGACGGACCTGGAGGTCCGAAGCACTAAAATTTCACGGTAATGGTTCATCGAGGATTCATCCGAGTGCACCGTTTTTCAAATTTTTCGCCCCGGCTCCTCCGAATGACGTGCGACACGAGTCCACTTCACAGTGCCGCTTCAAATTCGCACCAAGAATGTTTACTTGCGCCAGGATATTTATTTATTCGCCGACACGTGAAATATGCAAAAATGCAACGCGACTAGGCCAACCGAACTGGGGCTTCTATAAAAAAAAAATTGCGGCGTATCGATGATGCGCGCGCGAAAAAAAAGCACGTCCACTTTCGCCCGCTCTCAAGTTCTTATGAATCTTTCCGTGAGAATGCTCCGCTCTCGCCCGCTGCTCGTTAGGGCTTCGCCAATGGACTGCCAGGCGCCGCGGCAAAAGCTACGGCGCAACACGCCGACGCATCCACCCCTTTGCAACCCCCTACGCGGCTGACTCCCCGCTTTGCGGCACTGACACCTACCCACACCGACGACTTTTCCACTCGTTCTCCACGCGTGAGAGCCTGTGCTTGCTTTCACGACTTCGTAAAACACGAACGCCGACACGGGCGATGCCCACCGTGGATGTACATACGGTTTTCACGATCGTTCGCGCTATGGATATCCCGCGCATCATTAGATGTCGCGTTAATTTCTCTGCCGAATGCAGAGAGAATTGCACAATAGGTCGATTAAATTTATAATAGGTACCAATTACGATGACTGAGGAACAGTGTTGATTATTGTATTTGAACACCGAGAGAAAAATCTACTGAACTTCAGTAAATATTTGTTTGCATTATTAGCTGAATATTTACTAAATGTAAACATATTTATTCGCTTAATTTGCTACGAGAACCATTAATATGATTTAATTCTATCAAGTTGATAATACTTTTGAGACTTTCACGGGTGTTTTCTATCATGTTAACTATCATGTTTTTTATTTAGTTAATGTTTATTTACTGTAAGTAAATGTTAAATTAGCATTATTCGAATAAATATTTATTAAAATTTAGTACATTTTTTCTCAGTGAATGAACAGTTAGAAAATATTAAATTTTCGATGTACACACAGTAAAAGGAAGAAATTTGTTATCGTATTTTTACTGAAACTCATCTGCTCATAATTTTTTTCCTATTTCTCTTATCATTAACATGGAATATCATGTTATGCGATTGAAAGCAGGACCTTTCGTCACTTTTTGGCTTGCATATGTGAAATATTTAGCGATATTTAACCATTTGTAAAAGGCGAAAAGAGCAATATCAAGCACGGTGCTTTGAAGATCGCCGAAATTAAACGCCGACAAAGTGTACTGACACTCGACGGTCTATCGCTCTATGGATATGACGCATTTTGATTCGTATGCTACAAACTGTACGGTACGTCATGCTTTCGGGATATGACAGGTAATGTTGCAACACGAAAAAGGATAAATTTGATTTAACCCGTTTCATATTTTCGCCCACGAGGTATTCAAATGTATCAAATACTTTGTGCCAATCGAAACATCCATGTGATCGTAGGTCGATGGGGTACGTAATTTGCATAATTATGCAATAACTGTGATGTCAGGCACCCTTCGTCCCGCCACATCGGTGGCAGATTCCAGCAGACCGGCGAACAAATGAACGTATATCGAAATATGTATAAAATTCAACGTATCGAAATTATGCGACGGCGCAATCGCGGTTTTCTAATATACTATTCCGACATATATTCTTTCTTAACTTTACACCTTAAAGGTGACAGAAATTCTTCAGAAAATAGTATAATTTCATCGAATTTACATTTACTCGCGACAGTGGAAACGTGACAGTTGACATATCGTACATTTTTCTACGGAAATCTCTGATTTCGAGATTCACGCAATACATAGATAACTTTACTGCTGTGCAACTATATTGTTTTTTTCTTTTTACGTACGTGTACCGTAACGCGAAAACTTATAAAACATTACGGGATCAATGACTTCACATTTGCCCAAGATAGATGACCAGCATCGATCAAGTCTTCCGTTCTCGTGAGCTACATTAACTTTATATTAAATACTTCATCATTTTTCCGAGACACGTCACGCTTCGCCGATTTACCCGTCGATTCCGCGACCGAACGAGCCACGAACAAGTTACAGATTTTTTTTCTTATTTGACGTGAATTTCCACACTCTGTAAATCGCTTTCCATGCTGCGTTAAAATATTTATTATCTGATATTTATTCCACGCAGACTGTAGAATCTCTGATTTGTATTTTTAGTATAAAACCGTTTAATATAAAATATATATATACATATTGGATTGGAACTAAAGTTCGTAGCGCCACTTCATTTGTATCATGTCTATATAAAAAGTATTTTTTAAATATTTTTTTAATTTGACAATTACACCGTTCGATAAAGCAAAGTTTTAGCTTTAAAAAAATCTGTTTTTTTTTTTAAACTATGATACGATAAATTTTGAAGGCGTTATGAGAAATCAAAATCAAAATGCTCTTTTTATCTAATCCGCGATAACTCAGTAATACAAAAAATTTTAGGAATATTTAAAAAAATGATTTTGTAGAAAAAATTTTAAGCTTTCACGTTAGAGAATCGAAAATTCTTTACAAGTTTTTTCGAGCACATGCCGTCCACATAGTCAGATAAAAATTTTTCATTTTGTCCAGCTTATAGTTTTCTTATACATGTAAAAATTACTAATCTCACAAAATCTCAAAAAACATAATGAACCTTTTGAAAGTAAATATTTTAAACTTTAAAACTTTTTTTTAACTTAAAGTTTCTTTGTTTTTAACGAAGTAACAGCTGCTTGAATTTTGAAGTTCGTAGCACTACGACTTTCGTTCCAAACTAATGCGTAATAAATGCGATATTCGGAGAGAACGCTCGTGATTGATGGCTAAAAACAACATTTGAAATCGTTACACGAAGATGTACGCAGAGAGATTTAACATTTGCATCAATTCACCATTCCCATTTCGGAGAACGATACCATAAATCGATGCAAATGTTAATGGATTAGGCCATGAGCGTATACACGAGTTCGTATACAATGTCGGAACGTCGAGCATGCTCGAAATGAAGTTCTACTTGATTTTATAAGTACAATACAATAATGGAGCGTGCGGCTACCATTTTATATGCCAATTGTCCCACCAAAATATATAAACCGATTCTCCCGCGTGCGCGCGTAATTCTGTATATCGCTATATTACAGTGCTTGCTGTTGGCAATGGCCCCATCAACATATCGTTACCTGTCTGTCGATAATCATCCCGACGTTGCGCGCGGTCGCTCGTATCCGGACTTCCGTAATAATTGCATAATGTGCTAATAGCGCTCGTAAAATGATTACGCGTCGTATGAAATGATTACACTCTCTCTGGTACAACGGCAATTGCGATATCAGACCCGAGGGCGCTTCG